GTAGTTTAGCGTAGCGTAGTGTAGTGTAGTAGTGTAGTGCAGTGTAGTGTAGTGTAGTGTAGTGTAGTGTAGTGACGCGTAGTGTAGTGTAGTGTAGTGTAGTGTAGCGTAGTGTAGTGTAGTGTAACGTAGTGTAGTCTAGTCTAGTCTAGTCTAGTCTAGTCTTGTCTAATAAATACTGTACAATGAATAATTGTGTAATCTACTAAATACAATGAATAGTAATGCAATTATTTTGATTATGAAGTGTAAATACTTTCACGTCACTGATCATCTGCAGTACTGACTCGATTTGCGGATAGGTCAAAATGTTGCTACGTACAATTTTGCTACTCACCGAATTCCCATTCGATTCGGCATGATGCGCAGTGACAGTTACTCGTGTACTCAACCCAGCCCGTTTTACGGTCAGTATTTGCTGAAAGCACCTTGACAAGTAACTTGCCTCTAGTTATTATGATATCTCAGCATTGGCTGTAACCACTGAACCATTTTACCCCCCCCCCCCCGGAGGGCTTACTTGCATAGAAGTCCAAAATGGGTACTACTTGTGTACTAGTACTTCATTTTCTGGTTCCTGCAAAATACTTGATTGACGCACATTCGATGGCTCGGTCACATAGTAGGGCGCTCTAGATCGTTCGATTTCACATGGGCGCCCAATCTCTTTCCCATAGGTCTTTGCGTTTGAAGTTAGAGGCGCACTTTCGAGATAAAATTCGAAACGCGTTTTTTTTCTCCTCTTGATCCCCGTTTAATCAAGTTTGGCCACTGACCTACTGTTGGGCATGTGATTCACATTATGTGACAGAAGCTCGCCACCTAAGTTACGTGCGCCATAAAAGTAACAATTGCGTGACGCGCACGCCGCCGTAGTTACTTAGCGTCAGTGGAGTGAGAACAACAAACAAACACCCTTTGTCATGGTGACGTCATAAATAAAGTGTGTTTGTGGGTATCAGTAAACGAACTATCAAACTAACTAACTAGCCATGTGAATACTCAACACTGCAATATTTTCAACTAAACGACAACATGGAGGATGTTTCGGAAGGAACGACAGAGAACATTTACGAATCTCCAACTGGAGACGCTACTAGTACATCAGAAAACAGAGACGTTTCCGAGAGGGAACTCTTCGAACGACAGAGAAATCGTTCGTATTTAACTAAAGATTTTGCGTTTTTTATCGCAGCGACAATCGCCACGTGTTTATATCTTCTCTTTGGCGCTGACATATTCCGCAAGTTCGAAGAAGAGAGGGAGGTGGCGTTCAGGGATAACGTGACCGAGGTTTACGACCGTATACGCATGCAATACGGCGTAACGAAAGAAGATTGTGATGCCATGTCCGACTCATATGATCATTCGTGCTTAACAATGACGAAATCTGTTAAGCAGCGCATACACTGGGATTTTATGGGAGCTATCTTCTTCGCCACTGAAGTGGTATCGACAATAGGTAAGTTGTGCGAGGGAGAGCGGAGTTAACTATTTAACAGGGTCCACGCGCGGATTTAGGGGGAGGCGCCCCAGCCGCCCCTTCCGCTTCAGCCCGCCAAAAAATGACAAATCAATTGACAAACCCAGCCCACCGAAGGTGCGCGGACGTGGACTTCTTCCACGTCAATAGGAGCGCGCCTCCCTTACCGAATTTCTGGATCCGCCAGTGTACCTCTGATTATTGTTGTGCCTTTTCTGAGTACATACATTTGGTTTCTTTTTCAATGTGTGGGGTATTCTTTGATACAGAAAAAAAAAGTTCATTGCAGCTAACAGCCTTGGTTTATGTGGATACACACACTTATACACACATGGAAAACATACGCTGTCTTATACTATATAACTACAAATGAAATTCATGTATAACGCAATGTGACTATTCCAAACGTAATGACAGTCTGCTGGTGTTACACAATATGCGCGTGTCAGACTATTACGTATTCAGGTTTATTTAAAGTACCCTATTTTCAAGCATACAATTATCCATTGATACATAAATATTATTAATTTTTGTCTTTCTAAGCATAAATTATTTTTTTAAGTGAAAAAATGCGTTTTAAACTCACTCTACAGCAACTTTATTTTTGTGTATTTTAATTCATATTCACCATGACAGTTTTGCAATTTACAGTGAAAACCACCGAGATTGCAGTCACTGGTTGTTGTAAGATCGGAACAACTGGTTAACGATTTTGTTTCATGTGTTTTCCTATTTTTAGGTTTGGGTCAAACTGCTCCCAAGACGTATTATGGACGTTTATTCTGCATGGTATATTGCATACCCGGTATTGCACTGTTTATATTATTTGTCATCACTCTGCTGGAAAGGTTCTTAGCCTTGTTCGCCTACGCCAAGAGAAAGGTGGTATACTTTATCAGGCACTTGCGAGGCCAAAACAAATATAATATATCCCCACCACCGACTCGGCTGGAGACCACCGTGTTATTCGTAGTTGCCTATATCGTGCTATGCTGTTTATCAGCATTTCTTTATCAACACACTGAAGATTGGAACTACTTTGAAAGCTTTTATTTTGCGTTTTCCACTTACACAACTATTGGTTTTGGAGACTATGTGCCAGTGAGTACAATCGATATTGGATCACATGATATAGCGTACCACGTGGTGAATAATGTAATGACGTTGTTTGGCGTCTCAATAGGAATACCGTGTCTGACTTTCATCTCGAAAGCTATCAAGCAAGGCGTGCTGGGCAGTCTGATGGAGGACGTTTTTAGCAAAAAGGAACAGGAAGTCAAGAAACTTGACGGACATTGTCCCGCATGTGAGAAAAAATACGAAGAATCTGCGTGAGTGAAATTCATTTAATATTTTTTGGTCGTGTTACTATAATTATATTTTTGCTTTTTTTATTATTTATTATTTATGCAGTATTTCTTGTTTTTGTTTTTTTATCTTATTTTATATTTGAATTGTGCTTCGCTTGCCCCGATTTAATAGCAAAACATATAAGTCACATTATGCATGGTTTCGATGAGTTAATTTTTTGCTTATTTTGTCCTATTTTAAGTAAATCAATTGTTTATATCTCTTTGGCAGCGATTGTTACTTAAAACACGTTACTCATTGCCTGAAATCTGACGTTTTTTATGGTGCTATGTTCTGAGTTCACATCGTTTACATATGTGACGGATCGGCACCAGCCTGGGTGCCATGTGAATTTCACTGTCATGTTCTTGGTACATGTTGTCAGGGTAGTTTTTATTCGACTTTTTTTAATTTTGTTTACAATACTTTTTTCCGGCTCACGAATATAATAAAGCAACATTTTTTGGCTAAATTTAAACACTTTTATCGATGTAACTGTTTTAAAAACAGATCGGCGTGGAATATGTCGTATTTAGTGAATCCGACATGCTAACGAGGCAAACATTTATGTTAAAAGTATTGACTGACTTATCAGCCAAATTCCGAACGAGAACTCTTCGAACGACGGAGAAAACGTTCGTATATAATTTATTTGGAAGATGTTTAAGAGCATTTTTATTAAAAGTTGTATAAATATTATTTTTTAATAACGAAAATTATTCATCAAAACAAAACGCCAACGTGATCATATTTACTAAAAGTTATTGCAGTCGTTTGGTGATGTTGTTTGGGTATGAACGTGATGAAACTGCGTATATGTATTTCCAGATCATTTGAAATAAAAATTAATGTTTAGAAACTACGGCACCACGATGTGAACGAATCAATAAAAATACTGAATTTTTCAATACATCAGCATCGCAGAAATCTGTTAGTAACACTGACACTACTGCAATTCTCTCTTTCTAGGCGTGAGCTGGAGGAAGGACGCCACATTGGTTTATTTTTGTCACTCACAGCAGAGCAGAATATTCGTATGATAACTTTACTGATCGCCATATTTATTTACTGTGTACTTGGTTCGTGTGTATTTCCGGAACTGGAACGAGACTTCATACAAGAGATATTTGAGAATAAAATATTACTTGAAGAGATGAGAGTCAAATATTCAATTGCAGCAGAAGACCTGGCCGACATAGATGCTGCTCAATCCATGGCTTGTGAGAATGAAGTATTTATGTCACACAGACCGAGATGGGATTTATTTGGGTCTTTCTACTTTGCCATAACGGTTTTAACCACTACAGGTGTGCATATTAATATCCTAATTCGTATATCGTTTCCGCGCCATTTATTATATATGCATCGTTGCTATTTACCCACGATGACATCATTCGCACTTACCACCATGGCACGCTAAGCACATAAAAATGTCATTACAATAATTTTCTTCGAAATTTCTAACTTCTCGAAATTTTTCAAATCAATTTGCTGTTTTTTTCCCCATAGGTTTTGGTCTGACTGCCCCAATGAACTTCAAGTCAAGAGCATTTCTCATATGTTACGCTTCTTTTGGAATTCCATTGATGTTTATGTTTTTGAATCTATTATCTGAACACCTCGTCGTGCTCGTTACCAGCGTTTCACGCCTCATCAAATACTTACCTATAGTCACGTACAACAAATTATTTCCGCCAGCGCCCCTCCAGCAGTTTCACCTATCACCAGAAGATGGCATCAACGCAAGCACCTCTCCATCATTAACGACAAAACCGTTAAGTTCGACTACAGATCAAACACACCCAAGTTCAGAAACATGCAAACATAGGTGTGGACAGTCAAAACTCAATTCTAGTGTAGACTCATTTGCTTCGATGTCATTAAACAATTATGGAGTGAAGTTTATTTCAAGTGATGTAAACTTGTCAAGGGTAGATAGTGATATCTCAGCCATCGAAGGGAAATCTCTACCATGCTCGCCCACTAATTCCCCTGCTAATATCGACCCAGTGCCTACAATACATTATGTAAACGAAACAGGTAAGGTTCAAATGGATGAAAAAAACGAAAGATTGACTATTATTCGTGTTTTTTGTTTTGTAAAAACAGAATGATATTTAAAGATTGATTTTCATCGATATGTTTGTAGTATACAATGTCCAAGCTGATCTTGTTTTGATTCTACTATTAAACGTATCTTTGTTTACAGAGGCAACGAGTTACGATACATTCTCCATCTCCGGGGACTCCACGTCTTGTGAATCCATTAGTGAGATTACATCCAGTAGTAGTGCTTTTGTTTCAAGCTCTTCCGTAACACAAGAGTCAACACCGTATGTATTCACGTATTTTTGTATTTAAACTCTCCCAAACCTGTGATTATGAATATTGATAACGATGTATTAATCATTACAATCAAGTTCTTAGCTATGTCGATCTTATACGCGAGAGTAGTGCAGTGCATCTTTAAATTTGATGTACAGTTTTACACACATTGTACACGTCGCGATGACCACCACTCTTCTACTGTTACCATGATAATTTGAGTGTGAAACTAAAATACAATGTTCTCTATACAGGTGTACGAGTTTTGACGGCAGTATTCACATGTCACAGACGTCTGCCATATGGGAGAAATTTTCTAGCACCAAAAGTGAGATGAGAGAACCAACACCAACCCAACCAACCCCCAAACCGCCCACAAAATATTTATATTTCAATAGGAATCTTACAAGCTGTGAGTATACATGCCATGGATACATACATCAAATCTACATGTGGCATCAATAACTGTAGACAAGTCATCATAATGTTACTAGACAGGACGGACAGTTTCATGTAATATACAATAACACTTCAAAGAATGCAATAAATGCGAAATATAATTTCGAAATAACCGTTGCGCTTTACCTATATAAGATTCAACGTACAGTGTATATTTAAGTTCGTGTAATGCACCATATACAATCGAGGCGCTTTCTGTGTAATGGGTCATACATAACCAAAATGACGTAGTGTTTTTTTGTAATGCGCCATAGTTAACCAAATGACGAAATGTGTTTTGTGTAATGCGCTGTGGCTAACCAATAATATGTTTTCTGTGTAATACGTCATCGCTAACAAATGACGAAATGTGTTTTGTGTAATGCGCCTTGGCTAACCAATAATATGTTTTCTGTGTAATACGTCATCGCTAACAAATGACGAAATGTGTTTTGTGTAATGCGCTGTGGCTAACCAATAATATGTTTTCTGTGTAATACGTCATCGCTAACAATTTTTTCAGTGTGATACATAACTAATCTTCTGTTTATTCTCAATAGATCAAATCATGTTATCCACGTGTGTGGTGTTCATTGCCACAGTGACTACTGGGACATTGGTGTACTCTAAAGCTGAAAACTGGACATATTTTGAAGCCTGTTACTTTTCCATCATATCGTTCACCACCATCGGTTTCGGGGACTACGTGACAGCCGTTAAAACGAACGATTATTACACTAATACGCTGGGTACAAATGTCGGTAATAACTACGTCGTTATCAACGTCTCACTACAGTTGATAGGAGTCAGCATCACGTTCTTATTAATTCAGTGTTTGGCTTTCTTTTTCAAAGAGGCCATAGATGCGTTGATAGATAAGATTGGTTATATTTGTAAAAAGACGTTTCGTACGTGGTGCAGAAAAAGACGTGCGACAGTCGTCGTGGATAGTGAGGGCGCTCCACCGAGTCCTCCTGTTTGTCAGTACTGCAGAAAGATCGCCAAGTCGATGAGAGAGAGTCGTCATATATACACAGCAATTATAAAATAAAGTCATTCTGACATTCAAAACATAACATAAACATTAACTCTGCTGCAATCTAAATAATCAGCAACAAAAACAATGTAAGATTTATCAATATTTCGTGTATAATAAATAAATAAATGGAAGCGACTGAAAAAACTCTATTTTCGGGTTTCTATTTTTATTCACTATTTTGCATGACATTGTATTCACGCCAGAGGGTGAGACTGATTTGTGAACGGGTTTGGGTTGAGTGGGTGTGTTGGTAAGACCCAGTGTGGTTTGAGGGTGTCGAGTCTGTGACTTCTCTTGGTATTTTCTATTTATATCCATATGGCGATAATCGTGGTTGGTTGGAACCATAGTCAACTGGCACACAAGTGATAATAAAATAAATGCGATATTTACTATATGGGGGCCACCATCACGATGACTGCACTGAAACTAAAGAGACAAGCTGTGAAACGCGTTTTTCAGATTCCTAAAAATCATGAAAAAATACCAATCTTTCACAGCCAAACTAATCTATCCGTTGGGGGTAATATTGAGCCAACCGCCAACAAAATTCGGCAGAATTCGATGTTTTTTGTGCGGTTTGACACTGAAAACTAATTTCTGTTTACATATTAGCAAATTCACTATGCGTGCCATGACCTACTAAAAAAGTACAAAATCAAGTTCACGAAACTATGCGATTCGTGACGACGCCCTCCCCGCCAACCCTGGAGAGTTTATAGAGAAAGTCAAACAATCACAGTCAATATTTGTAGCGTTACATTTGTTTTTATACTTTTACAACTTTACAAATTGTTTAGAATTTGGATCTCTAGGGACTTTAAAATAGTAAATTAATGTCCATTACACTGTCCATATAAAAATCACTGTAAATAAAAGCAAATAATTTCACATGCATCATTAAAGTGAACATAAAAACAATCTATGGTACATGTTTTCCCAGAATGCATGTGTCATAATGTGAGATTTTTTGCTCTACTATGCTGCTCACTGGAATACAAACACAAGTTACACGGCCTGTGAAAGTAATCACGATTCAAACTAAAAAAAACGAAGACTAAAAGTAAAGACTATGCGTATCATTTAGAAAACTACGATTTATATTTGTCTAGTATGATAAAGTCGGTTGTAAAATGAATCATTAATATAAAAGCATCGAGTGCACGCCGCCAACGACAGGAATAACAGTCCAGGCTCAAAGAATAAATTGGACAAAAACTTCTTTTGCAAAGTTGCATGCCATCCAATGGTAACTGACCGAATAATTTTCAGAACTACATTGTATTTAGTTACAAAAACACAATAAGAAACAAACAAAAAACGAACCAGAAGGTAAGATCTTGTGTCTTCCTGTTTCAATCAGTAGCTTGTGGGTGGATATTCGGAATCGACACAAAAGTTATTTCAATTTTTTTTTGTTAATTTGATTACCGGTAGATGATTCAAGGACGTGACTTTGAGCATCTATAAAGGTCGTCATGTGGTGGCGTGCTTTAAGTGGACGCCGATGACACCTCCCAATGAACCAAAGAAATGCTGAAAATAGTGACGTCAACTCGCGGCCGAGAATAATCGTGTTGTACTGCTCTGTATAAGTCTGGTAAAAACGCGTGCTAGGCGGTATTCAGGTTCACTACTGTACAAAATGGCGGTGCTGTCAGTAGCTACCTTGCTATGTTTGGCACTGTCTTGTCAATTCTTCCCTGTTAACTGCGTTATTCCACTTTCCTCCTTGATACGTATACACAACGGTCTGGCCGAGCATGTTCTTACCAACTCATCGAGTGACCCGGTTTCTGAGCAGTGTCTCCACGCTTTGGGCGATCTCTTTAATGACACAACCAAACTTATACCAAGTGAGTGTTAGTTTTTAGATGTCCTAGTTATTTGAATATTTATTGTTACTATGGACACCACTGGAGAACACAGACAATTTAAGGGTCGACCAATTGAAATCATGAGTGTGACCGGAATATTTGTCAACAAACAAAAAAATGCACAGGCTTATAGACACAGAAAAAAAAATGCATGCAAAACGTTAGGGGAAATAAATGTTTGCACAACTGTACAGATAAGATACACTGGTTACACTTTTCAAGCCACTCGATGAATTTCAAATGTTTGACCTCTTAGTCAACGAAAGTGTTAGGAAGATATTGTTTTGATTAACTGATTGAGTAGGTGTATATGTATTTTGTTTTATTTTATCATAATCAGGGGTAGGGTGATATACAAAAATACAAATATCAGGAGAACTAAAAATGCTTGTACATTGTAATTACATTTTAACAACAACTAAAATGTTATGCACACCCTCAAATTATGGAATATGCTGCATGTATGTTGCAACATTCTCAAACAATCGATCATGACAAACTGTTTATTTTATTCCTTATTTGTCTGTACTTTGTTAACTTATTTGACAGTGACATATTGTTAGTACATGTGACAATTGTGCATGGATGACTCATCAAATCTGTATGACCCAAAGGTCATAACATACCCGGTACCTGTATTTCTGTACAGTTTGGTTGAGATTTACCAACATTAGCTAATTAGCTTTATCTCAATTAGATTAAGATTTACAAATATTTGTTTTTAACTCAATCTTATAGCTACAAAGTTTATGAATAGTGTCAATGTATTTGACTGATAACAATAACTTGAAAGAACTTGGCTATGATTTGATCTTGCATTTAACCTGACCTCAAATCCCTGGATAAATAAACAAAAGGAATATATGTGCTTTTGTGGCCTCCATGAATTGTATATAGTCACAACTGTTGAACTGCAGAACAAAATACATTCAGTTTTCAGAGCTTTGTATAAATCTTTTTAATTTATTCTCATAACCTTTGACCCTTTGAATGTTAGAAGACGTTTGTTATCTTTTACAAATAAATATTTTTTTTCCATATTATTTCAACAAATTTGAATAAGAACTGTAGCCAATAGGAAATTAAATATACTTGATTGGAAATTGATGACGGAATTACAGAAAAACAAGGAAAAATGTCACATCAAAATTTGGGCAATAATAAATATAACATTTAAAGGGATATGAAACTGCCTTGTCAGTACAATTAGATTTGGTAAGTATTTCACATCTGTAACAATAGCCAAGACCAATTTTATTTAAACCATGATTTTTTTTATGAGAAATTGTTTAAAAATTAAAATAATGGCATGGTCTACAGAGAGAAAATCATCAAAATATTGGTTTTGTAAATCTTCATTGAATAAGATATTTTTTATGTTTTGCTGATTGATAACTTCCAATGATAAATATTTATATCAAACGCGGAAGAAAAAAAAGTTTGCTTGTAATTTATAAAAACTCTCAATTGAAAAATTAGAGTACCGTATTCGTTCTGTTAGACCTGTGTGGTTATTTGGTTTCATCATCTTTAGAAAGTTCTGTTTAGGCCAATAAAATGTCCAATAGTTTGAAAGTCGCTTGTGTTTGTAATACATCCTTGTGTTCCACCTTGATAATTGGTGACTGCCATCTTTGATTTTGTCCTAATTATTATCATGGTCTTTTCTTCAAGCTGGTATGAGTTTACTGCAAAATGACAAAATTTAATAGATTACTTAACTAAGCATTTACTTTTGTTTGTAGTTGTGGACTCTCTGGGAAAAGTGGGTGCTGGTATATTGGATGGTAACACAGCCTGGCTGGGATCATTTGAATTGTGTCGTAATATGACTGCAATGCAATATTGTTATACACAACTATACGCAGTAATACCAATGGGAAAGAAAAACGTGAGTGTGTCCCTAACTGATCAGTCTTGAATTTATTTCGGGGTACATGGTTTGCCTTCATAGGGGTTTGTGGGTAAACCTGTGTTTAGAAGGACTTACTGGCTTAAAATCTAATTTACTAATTAACTACTAATTAATTAAGCAAAAATACATTAAAATTGAAAGTTCAAATACTTTATTGATTTTATCATACACATTTATTTTGTGCATGTAATTTGCATAATTAGTTAAGCAGTTATTTTTGTGAATTTTGACAAAAAAAATTTCATCAACCAATCCAATTTGTCGTCAGTATGATAACTTTTGAGAGGTTTTGAAAAAACGATGCAATATATCAAAGTTTTACAGAAAATTTCATTCAATTTTGAGTTTCACAATTAAATTAAGACAAGAGAAAAGCCATGAGTAATACAGTAAATTTCATTCGATGGGAGTTAACGCATATCACATGATCAGCTTGTTGAACAAAATAATAACCACCGAGTAGATGTCGAGATCTCTGACCTTGGTGTAAGGTACAAATATTCAAGACCTTTGTTAGCTCCCATCAGCATTGTCTGCAACTCACTTAGCCTTTTTACCACCAGACTTTCTCACCTAAATTTTTCTGCATTTATTTCTTATATTCCTCAATATTTCCCTAAATGAACCCTAATTTTGGAGCCAACAGACAAAATTTAAGTAAATTTTCAGTTTTTACCCAAAAAAGTTGGCTATTTTTGTCCCAATCTTCTGAAGGAAAGCACAGACTATAAACAGGTCTATTTGGTGAATTTGTGATGAAAAGAGGGAACTGGTATTGAAATGGTTAAACCTTTGAATGGCATAATTTTTTCTGCCAACATTTGGATGCAACATTTCTTACATTAGTTTATTTTTCTATACATTTTGTTTTAATTTTAGATCAAACAGTTTGCTATAGTCCTTGACAAAAAAAATGGAAAAAAATATTTATTTAGCTTTATTTTGTGAAAGGTGACAAGTTAAAAACAGTTAACCCAACATATTATACTACATATGTGATACATATACTGTGAATATTTGTCTCATGTTTCTTGTTTTTGCCTTGCCTTTAAATAATATATTTAGAGAAATACTGTATTTGTCTAATTACAAACACATAAACCAAAAATTGTATTTTTTATATACTGGACCATTAAAATATGACTTTACTTCACCATAAACACACAGATGTCATTTAAGTCGGTTAAAAAAGCAAATACTGTACATATATACTCTGGCTCATAAAAAACACTCAACAAGTATAATTCATTTAGTTGAGGAAACTAAAAACAATAATACAAATTTTTTTTACATTCAAAAAAATATATAAACTTTAATATAAATATCAATTTCTCAAACTATAGTATTCTATAATTGAAAAAAAGCAGTAAACTTGTCATATGTATGAACTTGGTTTAATAGTAGCTCAGAATATATTATACACACTTTCTAATTACTATTAATGAGTTGGTTCAATGTCCAATCTGCAAGCACCTCATTTGTAAAGATGAGTGGGCGTTCATAGTTGCTATGCATGTGTGTACAATATGGGCATAGACAATGAGTTCATAGGCATTCACTATTGAATATTTATAAATTTTTATAAATATGTTTACAAAGAAAAGTACAGCTCTCTGTCTTTCACCTTATGTACATGTTATTTGTTAAAAACTAAGTTTATATTATCCATATTACGTGTATAGCCAATCTTTTATACTGTTATCCTGTTATCTTTGAATAAATGTGTAAATAGTTGTAACATTTTTCCCCTTTATTCAGCCAATCCAAATATGCACCACTTTAAAGCAATTACCATGACGACTAGACTCGCATGAGACCTGCACATAGTACTAAATTCCTGAGGTTGTGGATTGAGAGAGGGCGCTTTTCTGAAAATGTACTTTAGACAATAGATTCATATTTACTATTTGATTTCACATATTGTATTTGTTACAAGTGCTTATGTCAGATTATTATTCTATGGTCAAAATAAGTAATATTTTAATGATTTAGTACTGTGAATGTGAATATTGGATATGCACTTTTATTCAAGAAAGTACAGTAAATCATTCATAAAAGTTTGTGTATTATGAAAATACCTCAGATTACAGTAACATAATATAATTCAACTTATACAAAAGTTTGTGTATTATGAAAATACCTCAGATTACAGTAACATAATATAATTCAACTTTAGAAAAGTTTGTGTATTATGAAAATAACTCAGATTACAGTAACATAATATAATACAACTTGTACAAAAGTTTGTGTATTATGAAAATACAGTAGATTACAGTAACATAATATAATTCAACTTGTACAAAAGTTTGTGTATTATGAAAATACCTCAGATTAAAGTAACATAATATAATACAACTTGTACAAAAGTTTGTGTATTATGAAAATACCTCAGATTAAAGTAACATAATATAATACAACTTTAGAAAAGTTTGTGTATTATGAAAATACAGTAGATTACAGTAACATAATATAATTCAACTTGTACAAAAGTTTGTGTATTATGAAAATACCTCAGATTAAAGTAACATAATATAATACAACTTTAGAAAAGTTTGTGTATTATGAAAATACAGTAGATTACAATAACATAATATAATTCAACTTGTACAAAAGTTTGTGTATTATGAAAATACCTCAGATTAAAGTAACATAATATAATTCAACTTTAGAAAAGTTTGTGTATTATGAAAATAACTCAGATTACAGTAACATAATATAATACAACTTTAGAAAAGTTTGTGTATTATGAAAATACCTCAGATTACAGTAACATAATATAATTCAACTTTAGAAAAGTTTGTGTATTATGAAAATACAGTAGATTACAGTAACATAATATAATTCAACTTGTACAAAAGTTTGTGTATTATGAAAATACAGTAGATTACAGTAACATAATATAATTCAACTTTAGAAAAGTTTGTGTATTATGAAAATACAGTAGATTACAGTAACATAATATAATTCAACTTGTACAAAAGTTTGTGTATTATGAAAATACAGCAGATTACAGTAACATAATATAATTCAACTTGTACAAGAGTTTGTGTATTATGAAAATACCTCAGATTACAGTAACATAATATAATTCAATTTGTACAAAAGTTTGTGTATTATGAAAATACCTCAGATTACAGTAACATAATATAATTCAACTTGTACAAAAGTTTGTGTATTATGAAAATACAGTAGATTACAGTAACATAATATAATTCAATTTGTACAAAAGTTTGTGTATTATGAAAATACCTCAGATTACAGTAACATAATATAATTCAACTTGTACAAAAGTTTGTGTATTATGAAAATACCTCAGATTACAGTAACATAATATAATACAACTTGTACAAAAGTTTGTGTATTATGAAAATACCTCAGATTACAGTAACATAATATAATTCAACTTTAGAAAAGTTTGTGTATTATGAAAATACCTCAGATTACAGTAACATAATATAATTCAATTTGTACAAAAGTTTGTGTATTATGAAAATACCTCAGATTACAGTAACATAATATAATTCAACTTGTACAAAAGTTTGTGTATTATGAAAATACAGTAGATTACCGTAACATAATATAATTCAACTTGTACAAAAGTTTGTGTATTATGAAAATACAGTAGATTACAGTAACATAATATAATTCAACTTGTACAAATGTTTGTGTATTATGAAAATACAGTAGATTACAGTAACATAATATAATTCAACTTGTACAAAAGTTTGTGTATTATGAAAATACAGTAGATTACAGTAACATAATATAATTCAACTTGTACATAAGTTTGTGTATTATGAAAATACAGTAGATTACAGTAACATAATATAATACAACTTGTACAAAAGTTTGTGTATTATGAAAATACAGTAGATTACAGTAACATAATATAATTCAACTTTAGAAAAGTTTGTGTATTATGAAAATACAGTAGATTACAGTAACATAATTCAACTTGTACAAATTCATAATTATTATGTATATTTGGATTTACTAGACTATATTGCCCATTGAGTGGGGGCTGTGTATTGTTGATGAATGCAGTAGTCAAGATGTAGCTAATGGTATGCAACTATTTATCAATGGTAAGTAGTGGGTATTGTAACATATAGACTGCAATGTGCTTACAAGGGTGTGGCGGCATAGTCTGATTTTTAAATCACCTTGATGATATTTGTCAGACATTTCACCCTCACTCACTGATATTGTATTGAGTATTCTACGTGTTCCTAATATCTACCTCGATGACAAACTGCTTACATTTCTGAGTATAGTTGTTATTTAGGAGTGATACTGATCTGTAAATTAGTGAATATTTTTTTGGTTTATGTTTTTCATGTTTATTTATGTTGGAATAACATATACATATTGTAATTAAATTTGCGTGGTCTGCAATAATTGCTTTTATTTTAGATATTCAGAGCTAAAACTCAATTTACTCATATTGTTTCTATTGTTTTTGTAGCTACTTTAGGATTTGGAAAACTAATTGTTGATAGAGGATCTGTCTTCTGTGCTCAAGATCCGCCCAAACCATACAGTGCAGGGTTTTATTTTACAGTGTAAGTATAAAGGAATATCAATTGTATGCATTTTGTGAAGATCCCAATTTAAAGTTGCATGAATTGCAAGAGGATCAACTTTACATGAGAAAGTCTATGAAAGAACTGATGTGTTCATCTTTGAGTGTTCTTGAGTATTCATAAAGTCTGTATTTCATGTTTTGTTGTTTTAAATAGAACGATAATTTTGCCCTTCTCTATTGTATTCTGTTCGGTTGGTGAGAACAAATTTAAAGAACTTTGCAAATGAAACTCATCCTTGATTGGTTCTTTATTGTGAACCCATATCTTTTAAATTATTGATGTTCATTATTTTTTGAAAAGTAATTTATTCAATAATATGTAACATTAATTAAAATGTCTGGATTTTGGGACTTTTCTGGGAACTTAGCCTGTAACTATGTACCATTAATTAAAATGTCGGATTTTTGGTATTTTCTTTTCTGTTACATTCTGAAAAAATCAACACTTTGTTACATAAGTACTTTATTTGTATATACAGTAGTTGCTTCATTAGTAGTGCTTGTGCTTACTCATTTAAGATATCAGAAGTATTTCTGTGGTCAAAATAATTAATGCTTTGATGATTCAGTATACAACAATATTATTTTTGGTTTATATATACTTGCAAATGCATTTCTAATGAAGCAAATACAGTATACATTTTATCACCAAAATAATCTAAAAAGGGATCGGAATATAAAATAAACATTTTTTTCCAAAAATATAAATTCCATGCCAATTATTCATGAATATATTTTATTTTTAGATTTCTGTGTTGTTTATTAGCAACGCTTATGTTGATTGGTTGGTGTGTTGACATCTTTTTACGGATTTCAGCGCGTATAAAAGCGGGTCAACCTTTGATTACAAAAACTGAAGTGTATAATGAAGACAGCAACGATGACTATACACGATTACAGGACACACCAGTTGTTCACTTTGCTGCCCTCTCTCAGGATACTAGTAAGTATGATGTACATATAATTAGTGTTTTGATATATTGAGTGCATCCTCATCATTTTGACACGTATTGTATTTAATTTTAATTATTAAAGTGACTATAGTGGTGATTATCAGTCTTTTTTTCTCTGATATTTATTTGAAATAATATATTTCCTTAGTGTCAAATTATAACAGCTTTTGCTGAAATGTGGACACTGAAAGCATAGTATATACACGATATACCGATGTTGTACATTAAATTACTTGCAAGTGGAAAAAAATGGCCACTTGTTATGTCCTGGTCTCCAGAGGGCGCCATCTATTGAAATCCAGTTTTGCCAGGGTGAACCTCAGGGCTTATGGTACATGATGACAACTTTATCGGGCGTTGGGTGAAAAGTCAAATATGTCGCCATGTTGAAAAATGTTCAAAATCACAGCTATTGCCCAGATAGACGTTCAACCAATGCTTGTAAAAATTCTTGTTCAAAATTGTATTTTTTTTTGGCAGATTTTATCCAAGAGTTTTTCCTGTGTTTTGCCTTTAACCGAAATATTGCCAGAGTGTTGGACACATCACAACCAGAAAAAGCAATCCGGTGTTTGCATGGGTTACGTGTTATCAGTATGACATGGGTTATATTAGGACATACATTCCTG